GACTATGAGGTTTACCAGACAGATAAACAGAAAAAGAAGCAGGTATACCATGTTAATATGCTAAAGAAGTGGGAAGACTGGAAAAGCATGTACCTAACCCTCCATCCCAAGGGATTAGAGTTGGGACCCTTGTTGGCAGACTCAGAGATACCAAGCCTAAAACTTACACTTGTAAGAGATCACAAGTGCAGGCTACAGCCTCAAACTTAGGCTCACAAATAAAAACTTGTCCTTGTAACTTGCCCCAAACTGAAAACACAAAAAGCAGATAAAGTTTTTCTGGAGCAAAGGTAGTAGTTTGTATTCCCTTACCAACCATACAATAAATTCTTTATAATTTTACTTGTTTTTGTATCCAAGAAGAAGAGGCAGGACAGAGACTGAAACTGTGTAGCTGCCCAAATATCACAGAGACATTATTATTTAGAATCTCTTTGAAGAAGACGTAATACCATTTAAAGTGGGAACATAACAAAGTCACTCCTAAAAGAATCAGATCCTCAGTATTTCAATAAAATTCTCAGACCACCAATATGAGCACAGATAATAAAATATCACCCAATTTATATGCAATATTACACTACCCATTAGAAAAAAATCAATCCAAAGTCATATTACAATATGTTGTGCATTTCACAGTTTTAAAACTTTGGATCTTTCAATAGAAAGTTGCCTTATCACAGTATTAGTTCTACATATGCTACCAGATCACTGTGAAACTACAATCTACTTTAGAACTATTAATGCATGTGTGTGTTAGATGATTTCCCAAGACTTCCATATGGGAGGAATGATTAAGCATATCCAGATAACTGAGAGAATTCATATCAAATCTAATTGGGTAGTGAGCACATTCCTAAACCAAGACACAAAACACAGTTTAAAAAAATTTTTTTTTTTTTTTTTTACCTGTTGCGCATAAAATGCTGCCACAGGCTTCATACCCATGCAATATGCCTCCCCTGCCTTTTTCAGACAGTCCTGTCTCTTCTGCTGATGTAAGAAAGCTTCTGCTCTAAAATCATCATATCCAGGGTACTCAATGTCTTGAAATGCTATTTTACGCATAACATCTTCATCTTCCTTGAACTTCTTTGCCTGTAACAGGTAACATTTACTGGAAAGGCCTAGTCCAAATTAAACCCTTTACAAGGCTTCTACTGATCTCACTAGAGCAGTAATTGACTGAAACATTCAGCTATGTGATAGCTACCTATTCATTACAGGGGAGCAAACACTGAATACATCAGAGGAAAACAAGCATGAGACAAGACATCAATATATCAAAAGACCAGACCAGTGACAAGTGAAAATACATCCCCTTTTGGCTCTTATGTGTAAAATGTAACTACATGTCCAGTTTACTTGTTTATTATTACAAGCAGCTGTAATCCACCTCTAAGAGTATGGTATTGAAAATGACCCCAACTGATAAATAAGTTGCTGTGTTCAGTTAAACTGAAAGTTTCTGAAGTTTCTTAGAACAATGTACTATTTTAATATACAAAGAAAACATTTATTTTTATATTTCATCTTCCCATTTTTACGGCATGAGCTATCCGGTCCTTGCAACAGGGTTTTTTTTAAAACCTCAGATGGTTTTAAGTTTGACTAAACAAAAATGTGCTCCCCATTTTAGCTATTTGAAACTACACCACATGGAGGCAGTTTTGCCTAGTGGATAAGCTACCACACTAAGATTTGGAGGACCTAGGTTTTATTCACAGCTCTCCCACAGGCCTGCTGCCATTAGCTACTCACTTCCTTTTTCGGTACCTCAGTTTACCCATCTATAAAATGTGTATAACAACACTGTTCTTATATTAAGTGCTTTGTGATCTATTCATGAGAAGCGTTACATGAGAGTAAGGTATTACATTAATCATAGGCAACATATATACTCAGACTTCTCAGGGAAAACATCCTTGTCTACACTACTCAATGCAAGGTCACTGAAACTAACCAACTTTATACATGCTGTGGCCATCATAGATTCCAAATTGCAACTGCAATTACGATCTGATTCTAAAAATGTTCAAAAAAGTATTTCAAATATTCTCTGCATGTCCCTAAAATGAAAAACACTATAAAAATAGAGCCAACCAGATAAAGGCATTCTAACTATAGGCTACAGCATTTCGAGGTCCCTTCCAGCCCTGGAATTCTATAAATCTGTTCTATCCTGAGTACTTTTCTGATTAGTTGGAACTTTCTTGCCCTTTCCTCTTCTCTGCCTAATCTCAGCAGGCTTCTTTCCTTCATGAAGGACATGCATGAGTGACTCAGAAAATTAGGCAAACACCAAAAATATTAGACTTCAGGACAACAGAATTTTATGGTTAATCTTGTTAATATAAAATACAATTAATATAGGTTAGCACTGGCCACCTAAAAAAATCTCTGTACTTCAAATTCTACGAACCCATGAATGTGAAATACCATGTGTACCATGACAAAGACAAATTTGTGTATGCTGAAACAAAACATACATATTATGGCTTCAGTGACAGGATTTAAGTATATAAATTAGCAATAATTCAACAAAACCTTTTTATCTCGGTTCTTCACTGTACTGCAAGAAGGGAGGGTTTCACTTTGCTGAACAGCCCCTTGAACAACAACTGTTCTTACAGGATCTGCCTCCAGGACACAGTTCAAAAATTGCTCAGTCTGTTCTAAAGAATAGCTGCAGAAAATAATTAATATAAAATACAATTAATAGGACATTGTTAACATACATGCCACTTTACTAAAAAGCTTTTCCTGTTACTTCTTAAACATTAAGGCAACAGCATGATGCTTAGCCAAATATGAAAATCAGTCTAAGGGTAAATTTACACTGCAATCACATCTTGGCAGGTCAAATTAGCCACGATGCCACAGCTAGACGACCAGCACTATGCAAGCTACAGAGTTGGAAAGATAAGCCATACCACTAATCTAAAGCTAGCTTGGGTACTTCTGCACTATATTGCGTCCACTTCTCTAGTTAGAGTGGAAACATACAGCTACTTTCTGTCAGCCTTTTATGGAACAAGTGACTCCTGAACCCACTATTGAAACTCTGGCAGTATTCTGTCTGACTTAGTTTCATCAACACTGTGAAAAAATGTCTCCTCAATAGGCAGAAAACAACAGGAAGAAAGACTTACAAATTAAATACATTTTTGTGAAAAAGGCTCAAAAACAACACAGAGAATTTAGAAGGGGAAGAGCTTGGGAGGAAAGGAAGAAACAAATACAAAGATGCAGGGATAAGTGGAGTTGTGCTGCGCTTGACAGTGAAGCCAGAAATCTACTTGACAAAAAAGTGGAAGAACACCATTGAAAAGATTCATAGAAGGCTTGAGCAGCAGTTTAGATGATTTAACAAAGGTGACAGAGCTGGTTTCAGTAGTCGTGGAGGGACAAGCGTTTGACCTCTAGAGAAAATAGAAAGAATGACCAAGCTGAGATTCTGTAGAGAAAGGATCTAAAGGATCTGATGTCAACCTGAATGTGTAGGAGAATCCCAGAGGGTGTAAACCCATATGAAAAGAAATATAACAAGGGTTGTCAAGCAAGATGCCAATAGAGGAAGAAAGAATGTTTTAGGGAAAAAAATGAAACTCAGTTTTCCCTATTTTGAGTTCAAAGTAGTAGCTGAACATCTAGGAAGATGCTGAAAGATAATCAGAAGGAAGAATAAGTGGAAGGAGAAATAACTCTGCCCCTATTACAGACTTCTTCAGAGTTGCTGTAGCAAACAATGGAGTATTAGCTACTGCTGTCAGGTGAGATGTGTTTTCTTCAATTGCACTGTTCCCATTTCCTGCTAATTTGACCAATATGCTCCTCAGGATGACTGTTGCTTCAATTAGCTAAGCCACCGGTTGGGAGGGGCCAGCAATTATGCCAGATATCAGTAACATCTAACAAATGCAGGGGAAGGGAAGTCAAGTGAAGTGAAGGAAGTCAGGGAGTAGTCTTCTCAAACCAATAAGTGAAGGGGAAAATAAGCAAAAACTTTATGTATAAAATTTCAAGGACGGGAGTAGGAGGGAAACTTTCACTCTTAAGTACCCCTCACTAGCAGGCATCAGTCTCAGGAGACCACAGAGACTGCGCTTTTGGTGGGCTACCAGGTACCACCACAGCTTCGAGTGTCTGAGGAGTCTGATGCACGATAAGCAGACTCTGTGGCAAGTTGCACGTACAAACTTGGTTGAGCTTGAGTACCATCTTGTCTTGCCTGCCTCTGTCTCCTCCTCTCTCTCTCTCATCATTGATCCTCTCCATCTCAAAGTGACATAGGCCCTGCTTCATGGCAGCTTTCCACTTGCAGTGGTCCAAAGTGATTAATTCCCAGTGTTGGCCATCAACGTGCAGTTCACAAAGGTTTTTCTTGCAGACGTCAACAAAATGGAGTTTAGGCCATCCAAGCTGATGTTTGCCAGTGGCCAGCTCACCACAGAGTATGTCCTTGGGGATTTGGCCGTCGCTCAAACGATTCTCACGTCCGAACCAATGAAGGCAATTGTCACAAGAGCAGATTGATTTCAAATTCTTCCGAACATGACCCATCGAACTGCACTGTTGCATGAATACTTATGTGGAAGGACTTGATGCTCAGGAGCTTAGGAAGGCAGCCACTCGTCTTCAGGATTCAGAACAAATCATCTCTGCTGATAAAACCAAAAGCTCTGTTAAGATCAACAAATGCCATATATGTACAGAGATTTCCTTTGTTCACGGCATTTTTCCTGTAGCTGTTTCAAGGAAAATATCATATTCAGAGAGGTGGTGCTCTCACCTTCCCTGGAGATCTTCAAGAGGAGACTGGATAGGCACCTGGCTGGGGTCTTATGACCCCTGCCACCCCCAGTGCTCCTTCCTGCCCATGGCAAGGGGGTCAGACTAGATGATCTGTCTAGGTCTCTTCCGACTCATTGTTTCTATGATTCTATGATCATGGATATACCAGATCTGAAACCACATTGAGACTGAGGGTAGACTCTGTCTGCAAGAGTCTGAAGTCTTAGCAGGACAACTTTGGTAAACAGTGTCCCAATGATGAGAAGTAAGGAAATTCCGTGATAATTACTGCAGTCAGTCATTTGTTTTTGCGTACAGTAATTATGCTTGCATCCTGCACATCTTGAGGAACTTCGCCTTCTCTGCAACACACACATCTTAATTCATGCAGATGGAGGAGGAGGATGGATTTCCCATACTTAGTAACTTCAGCTGGTATACAATCTGTACCTGGGGCTTTACCACAAACAAGCTGATCGATGGCTTTTTCTACTTCGACGACAGTAGGTTCATTGTCAAGTATTGTCAGGGTTGAGAGGTCTTCAAGTGCATCAAGAGAAGAGTCACGGACCACATTTTCTCTGCAAGAGTAGAGTTCTAAGTAACGTTCAACCCATTGATCCATATGCTTATTGTGGTCATTTAAAGAGACAGTGTTCCCCAAAACAGGCCCAAGAGCTTTCCTGATGCCCCCATACATTGCTTGCGTGTTGCCTCGGTCAGCAGCTTTCTGGATACTTTTGCATAGTTGTAGCCAATAAATGTTTGCACACCATCTCACTATACATCTGACCTTTTGCTGGATCTCTCCAAGTGCCTGCAAGTTGGAGTGGCGAAGGTCACACTTATATTTAAGGAGAGTTGACCATTTCTTTTCCATGAATGGGATCATTGCTGATGAGTTCTCAATTGTTTGAGGTGTGATGCAAGGTACCACAAGTGTCCAAGACAAGTTGACAGACGGCTCCTTTGAGCTGAACCCATTTTTCCTCATCAGTATTATACGGCTTAAAAGATTATGGAGCCCCAGAAAGAGTTTTGATTAATTGAGATGTGATTAACTGAGACAATTTTGATGAATGAGACAATATGATTAAGTGTCCTTAACCACAGCTAAATATAATATGTTATTTTGCTATTCTTTTGAAAATATCCTTTTCTTGCACTTAATTATGACAGAATAACCGTGTACATAAAAAAGTATTATGCAAAGTTTCACAAAGGAACACAGGAAACATGTAAAGATCTCTCACTTGTTATCCTTGAAGATGTCCCTTAAGAAATTTTGATTAATGGTTGGAAACATCTCAAAGAGTTGCTTCTCCTTCAGTTTGGCAGCACAATCTTTTCTAGCCATGCAAGCGGCACGTTTCTAAACCAGAAAGTAAAACAAAATAACCCCCCACATTATCATTAGAGAAATCTACATCAGTAATAGAACTGATTCAGTAATATATTTCATTTGTCAACTACACAGAAACAAAACCTAATCAATCTATATACCTATGATAAAAAAGAGAATAATTATATTTCAGTAGAAGCCATGCATTTGCACTGATGAACAGAAAGTAAGGATACCATGCTGCCACAGTCCCAATCATTTGGCGTGACTGAACTACAGCTCCTTTAATTTAATTGTTGAAAGTCAGATGTAGAGCATTTCTTGAAAGGAGCTTTTAGTTTAGGCATCTACTGTTCAAGCTAAATCCAGATTCCTTAAGGTTCCAAGAATGTTGGAACACCCTTCTTTAGTTAAAAGCTGAAATAAAACTGATATTTCCAGCAGTCAGATATTTTTAATCCGAGTGACCAAAGCAAAACCAAATCCCATTAATCCAAGCTGAAAACTATTTATGGACACCACAGTTATAACTGTACATGCAGCTCACGGAAAAGAACCCACAACTCTGATTATAAACCTTTATTTTTAAATGTCTGATCCATGTAAGCAGAAATGGGATTTCCTTTCAGGACAGCTGCTTAAAGGCAATAGGGAGACTTATAAAGTAATAGTTACGCTGGTCTTGCACTGGCTCCCGTAGAGGGCAGTGGCGTAAACACTCACTCTTGTTATATAACTATCAGCTCCACATTAAAAACAGGAAAAAAATGGATACTAGAAAAATGAAAAAGAACAAAACTGTATGGAAGAATTAAATAACCTGTTCTAAGAAGGCAGTATGAAAAAACAGAAAAAAGTGAAATCTTAACTCATTTTCATTAGCAATGCTGTGGGTTCTTTTTAAAACGTATTAAAACCAGGCAAATCCATTTTTAAATGAGTATCATATAGTACTAATTAACAATTTTGGCACAGCTCTCTTACAAAAAAATGCATAAAAATCAGTTTAATAAACTCTTTTAAATATGAAAACCAAAAATGCAGCTCAACCAAATGCAAATGCTAACCTGTTCACTGAAATCCAGCATAATCTGTGTGTGAAACAAGACATTAAACTTTTAATTGACAGATTTATTTTAATAGGAAAAAACCTGTCTTTTATCTAGGATCCTAAATACACTGTTGCTATTATAGAATCACTTACAATACTAGCTATCCATTAGTGTCAGAAGCTCAGCATTAGTCAGGCAACATGAAAACAGGTAACCATAGATGCAAAATATGCCTTCCAAGCTTACCAGATTAAAAAAAAAAAATAGGCATCATAAAATATAAAAATATTCATACCAGGTCCTGTTTCTCTTGTAAAGCAATTTCTTCACATATTATTTCTCTGAGTGATACTTTCTGTGTTTGTGCATTCCAGTGATCCATAAAAGGGAAAACTTCTGGTGCTGCTGAATTTTTAATCTGTGTAGTGTTAGATGAAGATGAGGCCCAAGTCATTTTCTTCTTCTGCAGTTTACTGTCTGTGCTCTGAGATAAGAATGTGCCCGAGTCATCTAAATCTAACTGCTCAATCAGCGTGGGACCTTCCAAAAAGCAAAAACCCGAAGGTGACAGAACGAAACACTCAACAATATATTTAATCAAAGCACAGCCATAAATGCATGCATTTTACACAGATATTTTTTGTAATTTACTTATAATTCATGAATATCTACTTTATCTAAGCATTTTCTAGCAAAATATTACCTTACTTATACTTTAATCATCTCTCTCTGGCTTCCCTTCCCCCTTATCCCTTTGCCTCTTTCTTCAAAAGTCTAATCAGGCTTCATTTTAATTCTAGAAAGTAAATATCTGACATTTAAGCACTGAAAACTTACAACTGAAAACACTGAAAAATTCAAACACTGAAAACTAACCCTCAATCACAAATGAGTAACTAGACGAAAATGGGCAGTTTGGGGAGGGGGGTTGTTGTGGGGGGTGTTGATGCAGTTACTTCCATGCATTCACCTTTTTCAACACCTTGTTGTTCAACAATTTGATCCTATGTTTCTATGGCCGATATTAATGGCACAGTTTAGTCAGTAAACTAACAGCATTTTTAAGAAGCTGCTTATGATGTGAATTGTGGGCTATTGTCAGAACCAAGGTTTAGGGTAAAGGAAAGGGGATGCCCTAGCAAATGATTCTTTCTGGGAAACTGAGGGCTAAATAATGGATTAGCCAATTCATCGCCCTTTGAAACAGAGTGACATGCATTTGCCCCAGACTAAATCAGGCCTCCTAATCAGAATGGATGGGAGGGAGGAATGCCAAGGTCCCTTTGCAGAAGACTAACTCCACAAGTGGCAATTGCCTAGTATACAGTACACCCTATATCAGCTGAGACTGTGACTGCCTTTCCAACATTCATAAACACCCAACTGTAGTTTGGCCTGAAGTACTTTGATCCCAGAAATATGCAAAAATCAATCACCACAGCACTTCAGTGCTGCTATTATAATTAACAGTTTTAGCTAATTTGTTTACAGTGCCACTGTTTCCACTGTGAGAGAATGGCAGGCACCTTAGCTTAATAAAAGAAGCACTCAGTTCTCATGAATTAATCTTACTGTCATTTTAATTTTAAGAACATGACATTTCTATAAGAGCGTAAGGCAGTAGTTTTCAAACTTTTTAAAGGCTCAGAACTTCTGCATATCGCTTCTGCCACAGAACCCTTCTATCCCTGGCTCTACTGCTTCACATGTCAGCTCACACTGTTCAGGAGAGCTGGCCCTGCAGTGGCAGTGCACTGCCCCAGGGGGTAATGCCTACTCTGCCATTACCCCCAAATCACTTTGTGGAAGCCCTGATGACCTATGAAAACCCCCGGCTTCCATGGAAGTTTGAAAACCACTGCTGTAATGAAAGCATGTACTGTACCTTCCACAAGCAGTTTATATGATCCATCTTCTTTCCTTTGCCGCTTCTAAATACAATTATTGAAAAAAAAAAACCTGAGAGTTAATGAAACACAGATGTAGACTCCCCACCAATGAAACACAAGAAATATTACCTTCCAGGTAAACTCTTTTCACATTAATTTATAATCACTTTAAATATATATATTTTAAATTTCATACATGTATCAACAGATAAGAATAGATTAGGAGGTACATTTTGAAAATAAAATTACTTTTCAAATAACAGAGCAAAGAAAAATAATTTATGCTAACATACTGAATCAGATCTCATAATGAAAATTAGATAAATTATTCTATGTTGCATGTCCAACTATCCTTCCAGTTTTGCAGTTTGAGGCATTATTTCAATTAGGAATATAAACATCTTGTAAAAAAAATTCTGGCAAATACCTAAAGAGAAACAAATAGACTGACAAAGCACAAGTATACATTTTCATACAAAAGAACTCTACAGACCATAATAGATTCTTTCCATTTCTCATGAATCACTTTTGCCAGATTCAGATCTATATGAACCACACAATCCTCAAGCGTTAATGACCCTTTTGAAAGAAAGAAAATATACTCATTACAACACTGTATAAAGGTTAGTTTAACCAAATATAGGACTGCAATTTGCATTTACAGGTCATACCTGAAAGAAGTGCAACTGCTAAGTTAAACAAAGACATTCTCCCCACAGAATTCATAAACCAGCACTCAAATTTTGAATGTCAAGTTGTTAACAAGTGCATCTTCCATAATCTTAACTACTAAATGAAGCTCTTTTATAGTTTTTGGGGGTATTGTTAAGCATAATTTCTTATGTATTCATCACTGCTTTTCTTTTTTCTTTCTTTTTTTTTTTTTGCAGCCAATTTTTAACTTTGTGACCAATTGCAAAACTGCATTTCCCTTAATTTAATCCCTGTCTGCAGATAGTCCTAATTAACACAATACTATAATGTGAGCACAAATGCCCAGGTATCATACCCAAATTAGAGAAATATTGTTCCAGGAAAGGAAAAACAGTAGGTGCCACTTTCTACTCCAAGGGGGACCAACCTTTTGGTGGGCATGCCACAAATTAGCCCCTCACCCTCCCTGAGTGCTACTCTGATCCACTTCCCCTATCCAGATCCCCAGCAGGTATCAATTTCCCCTGTCCTGCTGTTACCAGCCCTGTGATCCCTGGCTGATCTACTACTCTGCTCCCTGCTTCCTTCCTTGTGCTCAGTGCCCAACCTGCTCCTTTGCTTTCTTCTCCTAGCTC